TGGTACAGAAAACCTCCCACAATTAGCCAAGAGACTAACTGTAGAATGTTGGGCTCTAAAAGATAAAAAAAAATATATAAAAAGGAGTTGAACACATAACAGCCTTGAATTCTTAAAAAGTCTTTATTTTCAAGTCATCTGATTTTATGTTGTGCCCTTTTAACATGAATTTGCAGACTTTGAGATGGCTCCTCTATTGCAATGGGGACTATCATGTGAATGAGACATTGTTTTTATCTTTCTTTTTTGAAACAGCCACACTGACGCTGCTGGAACGTGGCAGTCTGGAGGCCTTTTGCTGCTCCGGGGGGAGATGTTTTGCTTAGATTAGTATGACCAATTAAGACAGAAGTGATGATGTTTACAAAAAGGAATAATTAAATCTCAGGGTTTTTTTTTTCCTCTTGCATCTTCCAGTTGTATGTGGGGAGGCAGTATGAAGTAAGTTTTCAGTGGGTGACTCGGCATTGTTTTAAAATATTTAAAACTGCCCTACTTAAGATTGCATGGAAAGGGTATCCTGGATTTTTGCTATTCACTGATCTGTCACTTTGCATCAAGCACTTCTTCTCCAGCTTCGAGAGAAGATTAGATCATATGTTTCTGTATTAAAGACTGTTGATATATAGGGCCTTGTCATTACAGTGGTTTTATTAAAGGAGGTTAGTGTCCCCGAGGGATGACTTAACATGTAGTGTTATTTCCGCACAGATGCCTCTGCCATTTAAAGGGGTAGTTAAAATTGTGTTTTAATGGCACAATGACAAAACATTGATTCAGTCTAGGTTATTTCACAGTGAGGAAGAAATTTGTAAGATTACAGATGTCATTGAACTGATCCTCTTACCATACCTATTTGTGTGCTGTGTTGTTGTTTCTTTGTTTATTTTGCTTTATCTCCCAGTTTCATATTTGCAGTCCAGCAACAGCTGGAGGACCACAAGTTGATTTATCAAAAATATTTTTAGCTCACCTTTCTCCTTAAAAAAGGACCTAAGGTGGCTTACAACATTAAAAGACATTATGTAAAGCTAATGACAGTAAGTATGTGATACTGAAAGAATGAAGCACATGCCACACTAAAAATGTTCAACAAAGGCAAAACCGGAACACATTCAAAGTGGTAAAGTACAACAGTCCATTTAAAAAAGCACAAAACACTGGTACTGGTTTCTCCTTCTGCTATGCTTGTAATTGAATTTAATTAATTAGACCTTTTCTTTATAGACTAAATGTTCCTACAATTTTGAGATGAAATTCATTTGAAAAATGCTTTTAAAAATCTCAGATGCAATGTTAATTGGGAAAAAAATGCTATTTAGTGATTGCCAGATGGTTGCAGCAGAGGGCATTGCCTGAAGATAAAATATTTATCCAACATAATATGGGAAGGATAGCAACGATTCTCTGTAATGTAAAACCTTCAGCTTGTTTTCTAAAAACATACACAGGCACATATGTAGCTGTGTCTGTAACAACAGGAGAGGTGAGCAAGAAGTGTCTTTCTTGTAATAACGTAGGAGTACTAAAATCTGTTTGAGGCATTTAGAATATACAGGAACACTCTATTCAAAGATAATAAAAATGCCAAAAACCAAAACATGATGTATTCTGTATATCACACATTTTTTTTTCTTCTAAACAGTACCCAGTAATTATTTCCAGCATGTCACTGTAAGTGTGGAAATACAACTGATCACCTAGTTGGATTGTGCCACATTATCAACAATATTAAGCACTGTTAGGTCTCACTGATTTCAACTGGGGGGAAGAATGACAAGACTTTTAGAATGCTTGATCACCACTAGAGCATAATCTGTTTTTTAAAAGCAATATTAGTCTGTAGAGTGTTTGCCTGTCTTTATCAGCTTAATTTTCATACAAGCTGTTTTATATCCCTCAGTACACACCATAGTTTCTTGAGTGAAGAATTATCTATGAAATTGTGGTTTTGCACAAGGCCACCCAATGAGTCTGTAGCTTGATGACTGTAAAATGTCATTCAAACCATGCGGAACATGTTAACACTAAATAATCTGCCAGTTGCATGTTCATATCATATATGCCCAGCTAATATTTTACTAATATTATTTTCTTCCACCATGCTGGCATGCATACAAACAAATCAGTGCATGAAAACATGGACGTGATAAAAGATAATTTCAGAAAATTAGTTGGCTTTTTCATCTGCGATTCTCCTCTTACAAGCAAGAGTAGGTGCTTAAAGCAGTTTGAGCATGTTAACACAGTCATTTTTAACTAAATGCCAGTATATGTTTGCTAAAAGTGTGAGATGGAAGCCCCTGATTCAAACTTGTCTTCACTCTCATCAAACATACATCTGGATTGAGCTCTCATATACTTGCTATGGAGGGGCAGGGAGAAGTAAAGTTTAGCTCCATGATACACAGCTGATGTAGCAGGCAGATGAATCTTTCAAAGTGCCTCTAGCTTCTCTTAAGTTTAGAAGGTATGTGTAAATGTAAATATAAAGTCTCTATTTATGTACAGGTAGCCCAAGAGTCTTGTGGCACCTTGAAGGCACGTTTTGTTTGGCATATGCTTTTGTCGAATGTAGTCCACTTCTTGCTCCAATGTAAGATACTAATCTTTGAAGTTCCACAAGATTTTTCGTTGGTTTTGGCATGATAGACTAGCACGGGTGTGTTGTATGAGCTTCTCTTGATTCTTGGCTGAAATAACTAGATCAGGGTAACAACGTTGATTTCAGCTTTACAGATGAGAACTTGTGGAGTCTTGGGCTATCATACTCTCAATGCTGAACAAAACATTCTCATGCAGCTGGAGAAATAAGCTGGGTCTTTGTGCTTTGAAAATTGGTTTTGACTTCATCGTTTTTTCTGCAAAGAGATCCAGTAAGTGCTTCACATGCATCTTTTAGCTGCATTTCTCTCTTGAGGAAAACAATGGGGTGCCTTTTTGTCATAGAGTGGCCTCCAGTTGCATGGGGACTTGACAACCATGACTTTTGCTACCTTTGAGTGTTTGACAGAGAGAGATCCAATGAAAGTCCCTATCCTGAGCCAACTAAATCTTCCGTTATTGTGAGATTGTTGTCTTTTTTTTTTTTAAGAGATTGATGCAAACTTTATTTGTATTAATTCGTCCAGGCATGAGGGCTTTCTTCACACAGATGGCATTCTTCAAATATGGACATATCTCTTCAATACTGGGAGAAGATTTAAAACACTGATTTCATAGCTTGTAGAGAGAAGTCCAGTTTGGGAATGACCTGTTTTGCTACAGTACTGCATAAGAAACCTCGTAATCACCATCTATTCTGTTGTGAAGTTTGCAGAAAATAACACTTGAATTAGTAAAACTCAAATACATTCAAATTCTTTTTCAATCCTTTTCATATTCTGTAAACCAAATGCTGAAAAAGAACCACTTGAAGAAATCTATCTCCCGGCCTTCCTTCTTACGTGTACTTTGTGCCACCTGCCAAAGATAGAAACTGTAATGGATCACATAAATCTATGAAAAGACTTAGAAGGGCAAATTAAATTTTTAAGTACTATTACTGTAGTACAAACTCTGGAGTGGCTGAAATTCCCAGGGGGAAACCATGACACTAGTAAACAGGAGAAAGTTTAACAAAGTGTTCCTGTGAATGTTTTATCATTCTGTGCTAGGTAGGAACATTCATTTCATAAAGAATTTAAAATGGGAACAAATAGGATCTATTCAATTTCCCTCTTTCCTGTTAGACTTCTTACAGTTCCTTTACACATTTTAAAACTCTTCCATACTGTTCCCTTACCTTTCCCATATGTTTTTGCTTAGTTGTTTTTAGGTTGTAGTGTTAGCAATCATAGTAATCACTTAACTGGAATTTAGTGAGGCAGGATTACACTGTTTAGCCTGATCACATAAAGGCCAGAAGTGAAGAGAACACACAACGTCTTCCACAACATCCATGTTCATACATTGTTCAACTTTCCCATGTTATGGGGCAAGGCCTAACCCAGTGTTTCCCAACTTTTTTCAAGTTGCACCCCCCCCTTTTTTTTTAATAACAGCCAAGTAACCTATGACACCTCCTGGCCATCTCTGCATAAAAAGACATTTTGAATGGGGTAAAGTCATCCCTTCTCAGAACGTAGAGGCTTCTTCCTCTCCCAAAGGGCCTATTTCTCATATACTGTACACACATACACACTAACTTTTATATCCAACTCTGAAAGGTCAAGGAAGAGGTTATTTATCAAGGGCTACAACACATATAAGGCAAATTGTGACTACTACCCAGAAAACACTTAGACCCCCAGTTTGGGAAACACTAAAGGGAACTTCTACTCTGGTTCAGTTGTACACAAATGGAGGCATTTCCATAGTCGGGAAACCTTTACTATCCTGGTTCATGGTTGTCTTACATCCACTCAAGTAAGCACAAGTAGAATCTCCCCTGTTTCACTTCATTGCAAGGGTTTGTTGTAGGAAGCATGAGGAGTGAGGGGGGGTTACAGGGTTAGTTTTTGTTGTTGTTTTGCTTTTTGTTTTTGGCCTGATAAAAGTGATGAAAAAATTGCTGGATAGCTCAGTGTTTTATGTCTATGGCTGTGGACCCAGAGGTTGGGAGTTCAATTCCCCACTGTGCCTCCCTGATGGGGGGCTGGACATGATGATCCATAGGGTTGCTTCCAGCTCTGCAGTTCTCAGATTATTATTAGGAGCAGTATAAACTTTGAAACACTTTATCTGGCTGAAAAGGGGTTGATGAAAAAATTGCTGGATAGCTCAGTGTTTTATGTCTATGGCTGTGGACCCAGAGGTTGGGAGTTCAATTCCCCACTGTGCCTCCCTGATGGGGGGCTGGACATGATGATCCATAGGGTTGCTTCCAGCTCTGCAGTTCTCAGATTATTATTAGGAGCAGTATAAACTTTGAAACACTTTATCTGGCTGAAAAGGGGTGAACAATGAACACTTCTCTCTCTCTCTCTCTAATGTGCTACTCTTTGCTTTTTTCCCCTCAGGTTCAATGCAAGTGATGAACAAGACAAGGCGGATCATGGAACAGGGAGGTGCCCACTTCATCAATGCCTTTGTGACGACACCTATGTGTTGCCCCTCCCGCTCCTCTATTCTCACAGGGAAATACGTCCACAATCACAATACCTACACTAACAATGAAAACTGCTCTTCTCCATCCTGGCAGGCCCAGCATGAAATTCACACATTTGCAGTGTACCTCAATAACACAGGTTATAGGACAGGTAAGACTAAGATATACAGCAAACTGTCTTTCACATGATATTCAGTCTTGTGCTTCCTCCCTCTGGTGGTAAATCTGATAGATGAAGATAGATGTGTAAAACTCCTATTTTGTTCTTGTATAGCAAATGAACCTGAATTTCATTCCTGGGAAGACTTGCAGCTCCATTAAACTCAGTAGACATCCCTAATGTTGCCAATAGGAAAAGTTAACAGAAGGTATCTTTAATATTGTATTGTACTGAGTACTGAGTATGAGCAGAACAGGAGACGGATCTGTGGCATGGTCATCGTCTACCAAGAGGGAGACGGAAATTGAAATGAATAGAAGTTCATGTTCTCCAGTCTATGTCCATTTCAGTGTGGCTTGAGCAGGCCAGTGGCTTGTGTCTCATTTTAGTCTGTATATGCAAATAGGGGTGGTATTAAGATTTTCTTTCTCAGGAGGCAAATTCATTAAGTCGGCCTTGGCTACTTTAAAACTGTGGACACTGTAGAGCAGAGTTGTCTAATACAAGTGGACTGGAGGTTCAAACCTTCCAGCAGATATCTAGAACCCTCATCCATTGCCTTTCACTGAAACGTTGGCAGAGCTCTTATAAAGAATACCTCTCCTGTCCAATTCCACAGGGCCATCCTTCCATATCTTGCCCCCTGAAAACCTTATAATGGCAAAGCTCTTTCCTCCAGTGACCATTTTTGCCTGCCACAGGCTTGACCATCACCCTTGCCATTCCAAACTTTCTACTGTCTAAACCTGTTTCCTACATGTTACTGCCTTCTCACAGTGTGATTATCCTGCCAGCCTGTTACTTTTGTTTCTCTTCTCGAGTAGCATACTCTTATCTGCAATATTGGCAGACTTCAACTTGCATATGGTGTTTGTCATCTGTACTGTTGAATGGGAAGAAGACACTAGTGCTCCTGTTACACACAATCACAGTCTTGATAGATCAGCTTCTTTGTCATCCCAAAGGCATCACTCTTAAGTTTTCAGCAATGTGAAGGGTGATGCAGTGGGTCACACCTTGTATCTTGCAATCTCAACATGGACTACAGCAATAAAAATGTATACAACCAATTAAACTTAGCTGCACATCATATGATTAGCCTAATACTGTATACCTTTAATAAGCATCAGAGACACTGAAAGCATGTTAAGAAGCTGCCATCCACCTCTTATTCTAGTTTTGAGAGCAAATGCAAACATGTAAATAAATCATATGATAAAGACTACAGTAATGTAAATATGTAGGACTGCATGTTGAGGATAGAATGTCTGAATAACCAGCAAAGTCTGAAGCAAACCAAAATTAATCACTGTGCTTAAACAGAAAATAATGCTAGGGAAAAAATCCTGCATAGAAAATTCATACATGGGGGCAAAGCAGGAGTAGAACCTTTTTCTGATCTCTTGTTTATCTTTGATCAGAGTCTTGTTGCACTGCTCTGTCTACACAATGAGAAAGGCTTCCTTTTTCGATTTTGGGATGTGCACAACTCGGGTGCAATGAGACAAAGACATGTGCCCTTCAAAATTTAAGAATTGAGTGTTTAATTGTCAGCATTCTGCCAGTGACAACCATATAATTCCTGTTGCACAAGTGAGCCCTGCTCACATCTCTGCAATTGAACCAGGCACTTAGCCAGTCACTTCCAAGTAACAATAAAAACGTCAGCTCTCGTTGCCTTGATGCGGAGCAGAACACAGAGCTGTAGGAAAAAGGCCCAGCACAGAGACAGCTAATTTGGAAAGCATTTTTCCTGTTGCAAATTACTGCATTAATTCCTTCATCACAGCTCTAGTTAATGCATGCTACTACCTCTGAGCAAGGTGTGGATCCATATACCCATCTTGAATGTAGCACACTGTAATTAAGACTTCCTGCTAGTGCTCTAAGTTTAATCATCATCATTTTGTGGAAAGACGAGCAAGGGTGTTTTCATACCAGGTTTTGCAAGAATACTATTTTGAAAGTTGAAGAGCAATAATTCATTCTATGCTTTATGGAATAATAAAGTTGTCTGACTAGACTGGAGCCTTGATCTGTTAGTAAAATGTAAATGTTTACTACTAAATGTAATAACAGTGATTTAGTGTCACACATAGTCTTCCTGCTCAGTTACTAAACCTGACTTTGTCTTCTATCCAACGAAATATGAAGACATAGTTTCTTTGTAGTACTTATTTTGTTCTTTCTGCTAAAATGTATTTGTAGAAAAATATAATTCATGTTCTGTTGTCTCTGTGGATCTTGGATGTGACATGTCAATTATAGTTTTCCGAGGATTGTTGGATCAACTTGTAAAAAACTGTAATGACTGCATTTTTAAGTAGTACAGTAAAACAGTAAAAGCTGGGAGAAATTTGATCATGACTCTTGCAGAAACAAAAAGAACTTGCTGGCTAGAACTTGACATGGCAAGAAGCAGCCAGAAAGCTTGGAGACTACTGAAAAGATTGAATGCCAATCCAAAGAAAAGAACACTATGCAAATATATCCCCCAAACAGTTAGGCATCCTTCAGTCTCGAAACACTATGGTAGTGTGCTCTGTATGGAGGACTTGGAACAGCGTCTAGTGTGGCTGAAGAGGCCAATTTGAGAGTGACAGTCCCTTCCACACTGAAGACAAATCCAGT